CTGTTCACGTTTCTTTATTGAAAAACTCTATATTTTCACTGAGTGGTAAGAGCACGTTTAAAAAACTCGACTGAAGCAGTAGCCTAGTTCCTAGAATTACCATAGGACAGAGTAAAGAAGTCACCGGATATAGGATGCCAAATATTTCTCCACAGAACTAAGGGGTAAGCCACAATTTTCTACATAATCGGGGAAAGTGGTGTGTAAAAGGCAATGTCAACGTTGAAATACTCAATTTTTCTATTTACATCAAGTTAGGATACTACAGTACATATAGCATCGAATTCATGATTCTTACAATTGATTTCCTTGATCAATCTTCACCAATACCCAATAATAAATATGTATGAAACACTTATAGTTATTTTCCATTAATTTTTATTGAAAACTTTTAGAAATTACTCATCAAAATATGAAAATTGACCACAAATTTGAAGTTTACATCATCGATTATTTTTGTTAAAGTTTTCTTAAAAAATAAGATCGTTCTTTTCTGAATATGTACACAAATGATAGACAAACATTTTCTGCTTAAAAGATTCTTTCTTTCAGGAAACAGAATGAAAAAGATTTCGATTTCTCATTATGAGCACGACGAAAAAAAAGAACAAAAAAAATATCCAGAAACAAGGAACTAAGAAAACTAGAAACGACTTAGTGGTTATAATATCATGTATACTTGGGTGAAATTGGTCACAAAAAATATCATCTTCTCTCTAGTAAAACGTAATTTAAAGATCGAAAACGTCTTTTTCCGAAGCTATATGTAGAGTGGCGTCACTTCTGAAATTGTTTTGAAAATAACCATTAGTCTTAATCACAAATCATGAAAATATTCACAAGAATACTTTTTTTTTTCATTCTAAAGTGGTACATTCAATCTTAGTAAGGTCTAGTTTGTCAAAATATTATCAATTTATGATCTTCCTATGTTGAACAAATGTATCCCGCACAAGTTTGTGAAAACTGAGACAAAACTAGAATCGGCCTGGATCAAAAATATTAATACTCCGCTGTACGAAACCCAGATAAAGTCTCACATTTTTCGTCAAAGAAAAACTTTCCACGCTTGATTCCTTTTAATGAAAAAAAATCCAAAACTCATTCAAAAGAGAAAGATAAGTTTGCGGCATGATATATCTCAATAGTCTTGCTTCCTAAACCTTGAAAAAATCAGAAAATACCTTCGATATACATTAGCTATGTTGAAATTTAACGACATTTTTACCTACACAGACTATAGTCGTAAAAATGGTGATTGTAGTATCTTGGTCAAGTTTCGAAGGGTCTGAAACTATACTATGGGCTGTTTTCAAAAAATATGGGCCAGAAAACACGTTTTAAGATGTTAGACTTGAAAGTAGCCATGCAAAACAGTGGAAAACAGAACCAATAACGTGTATTAATTTTGACAGGAATCAACAAAATACTAAATAAGTGTCAATTAGGCAAATGAACATTGAAAATAGCAGCTTTTATAATCGTTTTAATACACTACAGTATTTGCGTCACTATATTGTTTGGGTATAAGTTTATCGCCAAAAACCACATACTGTCCGCTCAACGTATTAAACAAATTCTTTTAATTGTTTTAGACTCTTTGGTATTGTACAGAAAAACCGCACGCTTTTATATAGACTAAACCGATTCGGCAAAACTACTGCATTGACATTTTCCTCTGGAAACTCTCGATTTTTAAATATATATTGATATGCTCATATCAGAGATGTGTTCTTCCTTAACTATTGTCTCTTCGTAGATTGAAATGATTCATATGGATGATGATGCTAAATTAGTCACCGGCTCGCTTGCTAAGAAGAGTGTGGTCGTCAGTGCAAACGACAAGACAAAACCAATTTCAAATGCACAAAGTCCAAGAAATGTTCAAAATAACACCATCGATCGAATAAAAAATTACACGATTCGACAAAATATGTATGACCTTTTTTTTAATGTCAAATATAATTGTTGTTGGTCTTTCCTGGGAGGTATTGCCGTTGGTCAATGCTAAATTTAAGTACCAAACCTGTCTTTGTACTACCTATGATAACAAGTATAGCTATGACCATCGGTATACTGATAGTTTGTTTTATCGAACCAAAACTACCAGGTATATTTTTGTTGTTCCACAGTCTTCTTGTTCACTATAATAAAAATACGCAATGAGATTCAGTCTTTTTTACAGCTACTGCGGATTTTCAGTAAAACAAAACTTAAATTATGATGACATTTAATACAAATAGGCTACAAGGAAATCATCAGTCGAGAATAGAATTATAAGCATTACAATTGCTCCAGTTTCAGTATCAAATTAGCACTGATGAATGAACCAGTGAAGGTAATCATCACCAATAGAGATGACGACTTACTCCTAAGTCAGACTCAGTGAGACTAGAAAACGACAACAAAGGTATGGTTTCTTACAAGAGCATGTCACTAGCTGTTACTCTCTGTTTAAACTCATTGCGTAGGGAAAAATTTCCAAATGATTCATGCCATGTTACTTTGTTCCAGAGAAACAAGCATAACAATATTCTCTAAAAAGAAGGTTATCGTGATGTCTAAAAAAATATATTCTTCATATCTCAATAAAAGAATGATTTTCATGAGCTGATTTTTAACAAACTCATCTTATATTGTGTTGCTTCTTATAACAGAAGGATCACAATTGTTGTAGTCAATGTTTTACAGATGAAGGAGAGAAATTCCTTGAATTACTTCTTTTATTATTTTTTATAGTACTTTTTAACATTTCTGGACGAAAATAGCAGCTTATCCAAGAGTTCTCTTTCTTTGCCTCATCTATGTGTTTTGTTGGCATAATATATGTGTGAAACAATAAGGAAAAATACAAATGATTTTCTTATAGGACTTAGTAAAAATAAACATTTCTTCTCTGCAAGATACATTTTGTTTATATACTTTGACCGTATGTTGTTCGAAAAGAAGAGTAAGTAGATAATGATAAAAAGACATCTGCAGTCAGAAGACTATTAAATGTTGTCATCATTTTTGCATCATCTCTTTTTTTTCTATCATGATCAGTTACGTTTTCATATCTGCAATTCCAAATATTTATTCTTTCGTTCTGCTATCATACCTGAATGTGTATACGTCTTCTCTTCTATTATGTTCAGATACATTCGTCTTCTTTCTTTTTTTTTCAGTATCGATAATGTATGCTCTCTCTCTCTCTCTCGTGTTCTCTAATGAGTTCTCTGATCTTTAGTAGATTCTAGTGAATTCTTTCCATTTCCGATATTTGAAATAATAACACATTCTGTAAATGTGGTAAGATTATACTTCTTTCTTACTAATAACTAGTAGTGATCGGATAACTTTACAAAATGAACAAATAATAAGTAAATTTCAATTTCATCATCGTTCACGTGTCTCGAGAACAAAAATGAGTAATTCTTACGACTTCTTAACAGTAATATTAAACCTGACATCAGATGAACTATACTGTAATTCATAATCTTCAATCAGTTTTAATGACGAACATATTGAATTAAATATCTATAGATGTTTGAATTCGATTTTGAAAAGTACATCGTATACTTTTGAAATAAAAACTAGATTAGATCAGAATGATAGATTAGATGATTTAGATTTAGAAGATCTCTTCCTGTTAGAGTTCACTCGCCATCATTTTGATGGATGTGAGTGTTAATGTTTGTGGGTAAATTTTGTAAATGAGCATGTAAATGTTTCTTTTCTTCTGGTTCACACATCCACACCTATGTCTACACTCTAGTTAAAAGTCTTTTATTTTTATACAACAAGTGCCAACGTGTAGAATGAATTTATAGTAAATCAGTTCATGTAAATGTGTCTTTATTGAAATAAAAAAAATAAAAATTATAGAAAACGCAAGTCTCGTTTTCAAAAAAAACTTGTTATGCTCGTTTTTTCTACAAAAAGCTGCAATGGAACGAACACTTTTGAGGTTTTCTCTACTGTATGAGCTCACCTAATCAGCAAAATATGAGCTCATGCAGCAGACATCAGTTAGTGAGACTCCCTCGTGTAAGTGTTTTTCATTCGGGTTATATCTGCCATAGTGATGTTTCTCTATAGACTATCGTACACTAATAGATCGAACGACGATATTTCGACCTAATATATTTGCGTCCATATGTCGCATACTTATTAGAATATCCTAAAGCTTTTAGCAAATATGTGCATGTCTCTTTTAACATAATGTATTCGCAAGAGAAATCTACTGCCTTCATAGTACTTACGAATTGATCATGTAAAGAAGAAAGTATGCATTTTTTGCTCAAGCTTTCAAAGTATTCGAATAACTATATGTCCGCGATAGCCTGCATCAGGCCACGAGTGAATTTGATGACGAAAAACGAGAATATAGGAATCATCTTGCTCTTTGGAAAAGCCAAGACCATGAGACAACTATGGAAATCATGCTATAACAGTGCATTGTGTATTCTCCAATACACACGAAAAACTTGTCATATTCTGATTGTTACTGTTAAATATCAATGCAAAATATTCATGACACAATCAGAGGATTGTTGCAAGACAATGGTAGTGGCGATGTTTTGATTGCGAAGCGTTTGAAATTGTTTTGAAATTATAGTATATTGGTAGCTGATACCATATCATGAAAAATCTTCTATGATAGAGATGATAGTGCTTTTGATCATGTCGTTAGGATCAATCCACAACCCTCACTTAAGTCATATCAATTGTTGTATCTGTTCTTTCTTAGTCACTATGCATTTTTCGGACGAGTTTCTAGTAAATGAAAGAAAGCACATGAGGAATAATCTGAGCAATGAATTCCACGAAACTCAACGAGGCTCTATTGAACAATACTGGCATTCATTCAAGTCTGACTACAATAATGTAATCGTTTCCAGTAGAATCTTGTGATGTTTATGGGAGTCTGAGATAATCCATTATAGAGATAGTTGTATCATAGTAGTTAATCAAGCTTGATTTCTGTGTTCTTGTGTTGCTTAGTCCGAAAATGTGAAATGAGTTTCAAATCAACGACCTTAAATTCAATCCAATATAAGTATGGCCCCCGATCTGTTGCCATCGGCAACTTCAACAACGATAATTGGCCAGATCTTGTTGTTGCCCATTATGCTGTTGATAATGTAGCTATATATTTCGGATATGGCAATGGAACTGTAGCAAGTCCAGTCACGTATTCGATTGGTTCTGGTTCTGCTCCGTACATGGTAGCTGTTGGTGATTTCGACAACGATCATCAACTGGATATCGCCGTCGCAAATTTTGGTACAAACAGCATTGTTGTTCTTCTTGGATTCCAAAACGAATCTTTTGCGAGCCAAACAGCTATATCAACTGCATCATCTCGTCCTGTTTGGATCCATGTAGCAGATCTCAACAAGGACGCAGCACTAGATATTGTCACTGTTAACTACGGCACAAACAGTATAAGTGTATTTTATGGATATGGAAATGGAAGCTTTTCAAGACCAAGCCTGTATTACACGGGCTATGACTCTCTTCCATTAGCTGTTGTCAGTGGTGATTTCAATAACGACAAACAGATGGATCTTGCTATTGCGAATTATGGCACAAACAACGTCGGTATACTACTTGGAACTGGCAATCGTACTTTCGCAAATCAAATCACGTTTTCAACTGGTCCTAATTCCCATCCACACTCGCTTGTTGTTGGCCATTTAAACGGTGACACCATGCTAGATATCGCTGTCGCCAACTATGGAACTAACAATGTAGGTGTACTTCTGGGCCACGGTGATGGAACTTTTATAAGACAAACGACATATTGGCTCGGTAGTGTTTCTCCATATTCTATTGGTATCGGTGACTTTAACAAGGACAAACGAATGGATTTAGTCGTCACCAACAATGGCACTGATAATATAGCTGTACTTTTCGGAAATGGAAACGGCTCTTTCACAAGTGTAATACCGTATTCAACTGGATCCTCTTCTTCAATCTTCGTTGCCATAGGTGATTTAAACACAGACGATCGTTTAGACATTATCGTCATCAACAATGACACAAGCAGTATAGGCATCCTGCTTGGTTCTGGCGAAGTCTCTTTTGAAAACCAAAGGACATATTCAACTGGCTCTATGCCATTTTATGTAGCTGTTGGTGACTTTAACAATGACACCCGATTAGATATTGCCACTGCTAATTGGGAAGGCAACAGTACAAGTATTCTTCTCGGATACGGCAATGGGTCTTTTGCAGATCAAATGACATATTCAACTGGTTCTTCTCCACATTCTTTAGCTGTTGGTGATTTTAACAACGACACTCGATTGGATATCGTCGTTGCTAATTGGAAAGGGCACAGTATAAGTATACTTCTTGGGCATGGTAACGGATCTTTTGCAAAACAAACGACACATTCAACTGGTGCTTCCCCTCGATTTGTAGCTCTTGGTGATTTTAATAATGACACCCGATTAGATATTGTCGTTGCTAATGAGGATGATGACACTGTAAGTATTCTTCTCGGATATGGCAATGGCTCTTTCTCAAAACAAATGACATATTCAACTGGCTATGTTCCAGTCGCCATAGCTGTTAGTGATCTTAACAATGACACTCGATTGGATATTGTCGTTGCTAACCTGTATGGCAACAGTGTAAGTATACTTCTCGGACATGGCAACGGTTCTTTTACAACACAAACAGAATATTCAACTGGCTCTCAGCCATTCTCTGTAGCTCTCGGTGATTTTAACAATGATACTCTATTGGATATTGTCGTTGCTAATTCTTTTAGCCACACTATCAGTATACTTCTCGGATATGGCAATGGGTCTTTTACAGATCAAACGACATATTCAACTGGCTCTTCTCCTCACTTCGTAGCTATTGGTGATTTTAATAATGACACCCGATTAGATATCGTCATTACTAATTGGGATGACCACAGTGTATCTGTATTTCTCGGATATGGCAATGGGTCTTTTGCAAATCCAACAACATATTCAACTGGCGATTTACCAGAATGTATAGCGGTTGGTGATTTTAACAACGACACCCTCTTGGATATCGTTGTTGCCAATTTTGCGAACGATGATGTCAGTATTCTTCTTCGTTATGACAGAGGGGCTCTAACAAACGAAACCACATTTGCATCTGCCGAGGGTTCTCGTTTACGAAGTGTTGCCGTTTTTGATTTCAATAACGATACCCTAGTGGATATCGTCGTTGCCAATTATGGTACCAATAACATAGGCGTCATTCTTGGACATGGGAATGATACTTTTGGAGAACAAAAGAAGTTCTCAACTGGTTTTAATTCTCATCCTTGCTCGATTGCCACTGGTGACTTTAATAAAGATGGCCAAATGGATATCGCAGTAGCCAATCATGGTACTAAAAATGTTGGGTTATTTCTGGGAAACGGGAATGGAACGTTTGAAAGTCAATTTAGTTATGACAATGATGATGACTTGGTTCCATTGTTCATTGCTTCTGGCGATTTCAACAATGATGGACGTGCGGAAATTGTTGTAGCACATGATGACATTGATAATATAGATATACTTGTTGCATATGACACAAACGTTTTTGTAAAACAAATGACATATTCCACTGGCGGTTCACCCCAATCCGTAGCTATTGATGATTTTAACAATGACGCTCGATTAGATATCGTCGTTGCCAATTGGAACGGCCACAATATAAATGTGTTTCTTGGATACGGTAATGGCTCTTTTGAAAATGAAACAACATATTCAACTGGCTCCTATCCACACTCTGTAGCTGTTGGTGACTTTAACAACGACACCCAATTGGATATCGTTGTTGCTAATTGGCAAGACAACAGTGTAAGTATACTTCTCGGCTATGGTAATGGATCTTTTGCAGATCAAACAACATATTCAACTGGCCGCTCTCCGTACTCTGTAGCAGTTGGTGATTTTAACAAGGACACTCGGTTGGATATCGTTGTTTCTAATTCAAATGACAACACTCTAAGTATCCTTCTCGGATATGGCAATGGATCCTTTGCAAGACAAACGACATATTCAACTGGCCCTTCTCCACACTCTGTAGTTATTGGTGATTTTAACAACGACACCCAATTGGATATCGTTGTTGCTAATTGGCAAGGCAACAGTGTAAGTATACTTCTCGGATATAACAATGGATCTTTTGCAAGACAAATGAACTATTCAACTGATTCTTATCCAACCTACGTAGCTGCTGGTGATTTCAACAACGACACTCGATTGGATATCGTCGTTGCTAATCAGTATGGTAACACTGTTAGTATACTTCTCGGAGATGGTAACGGCTCTTTTTCAGAACAAATGACATATTCAACTGGCTCTCAACCATTATCCATAGGTGTTGATGATTTTAACAATGACACTCGATTGGATATCGTCGTTTCTAATACGGGTGACGACAGTGTAAGTATACTCCTCGGCTATGGCGACGGCTCTTTTACACAACAAACGACATATTTAACTGGTGCTGCGCCACAATTTGTAGCTGTTGGCGATTTTAACAATGACACCCTACCAGATATCGTCGTTGCTAATTCTGATGTTGACACTGTAAGTGTACTTCTCAGATATGTCTATCTAGCTTTTGGAAAACAAATGACGCTCATAACTGGCAATGGATCTCGACCGAGATCATTTGCTTTTGGAGATTTCAATAATGACAGTCAAATAGACATTGTAGTCGCAAATTCGGGCACTAACAATGTGGGTATTTTTATGGGACATGGCAATTATTCTTTCACAAATCAAAGAGAATTTTTAACTGGCTCTACTCCAATGTCTGTTGCAGTTGGTGACTTCAACAAGGACGCCATACTTGATATCGTAGTCGCTAATCATGGTAACGACAATGTTGGTATATTTCTTGGGTGTGGTAATGGCTCCTTTTTTAACCAAATGACGTTCGCGACTGGTCCTAAATCTCAGCCTTACGAAGTCGCCGTTGGTGATTACAACAACGACAATTTACTAGATATTATCGTCGTCAATTATGGTACCAACAATGTAGGTGTGTTGCTTGGATGTGGCAATGGGTCATTTTCAGATGTAAAGCTTTTTTCGATCGGGCATGGTTCTGTTCCTTTCTCGGTGTCCGTTGAAGATTTTAACAATGACAAAAAGCTGGATTTCGCAGTCGCCAACGAAGGTACTGACAATTTGAAAATCTTTTTGCAGACTTGCTAATGTTACAACTTCTAGCTGAAACTTCTTTTTTGTTTCATACATTATTTCTAACCTCTAGTTAGTGCTACTAATATTGACTGTAATCTTTGTTTTTTTTTATTCATCTCTTGATTTCTACGCTAATATAAAGTGTAGTTGAAAGTGTGTGTCTCAACCCAAGTATGGCAAGTTTCGATCATGTTTAAGGATATTATCACAAAGTGTTGACTAAGTATCCATTCAAATTATTGAAAAGATCATAAGTATGATACGTAACCTATAATTTTCACGACAAATTCTCAAAAGACTCTCCATCATGATAGTAGGTATCATTATTGTAATGATGAATGAAACAAACTTCGAAGCGTTTGAACTTCGTCTAAAAGTCTCATCGCGATGATCAATAAATCGAAAAACAGATCTATCTATATGTCTATGGTATAATTCAATCTGCTGTTCTCAACTTCTGCTTTGAAGCAATCGATATCTTGTCGAAATATTTCTAATTAGAGTGAAGATGTTTAATGAAAGAATAATAAGCGAATGCAAAGTTTATTTCATTGACGCGTTTCATGTTATTTATTAAAATTGAAGCATTGATCAGGATTGTGCATTCCAAATTTAGCACACACAATAAAAAACAAAAGCATGAAAAAGAAAAGGATTCTTCGAACATGCAGCAAGGGAGACAAACTAAATGATGGGAGTAGTCTTGAAATGAAAAACTTGGGAATCAAATTTCAAACTCCTGTTATTATAATTGATATAACAAAATGTTTATCGTATCTAGTGAGTCATTACATTTAAGCCGAATATCACGTGTGAAGGCGTTTTATTAATATTGATCGATCTCCATTATAAGAATCAATTTGGTTTGTTGTTTATTTATTTGTCATTATAATAATTTATTAGTTAGTATCTTATATATTATGAAATTTTACATGTGAAAAGCAACCGATTAGTATTAAGTCTCAACTGGATTCAAACCCTTTATGAATAATTGTATATAATTGTGAATTTTGAAGCGAAAAATATTATGAAACAGCAAGGGTGTGAAGGATGGGTGTGGTTGTATTGAGCAACCATAATGTTAACATTTCACTTCGGCATCGAGAATTATCAGATGGTACTCCTTTCAATTCAAATACAGAATCGAAAAAAAGATGCAGGTTTGAGTATGTATTATAGAAGAGAATTTAGAATACAAGCTACGTACTATGATTATCACATCATCCCTGCTTAAAGAACTTGTCAGACATGTTAAGAATTTATTATTACATGCAAAATCAAAATCAAAATCAAAATCACTTCATTTCTAAATGGGAGGCGATACCTATTCGTAATTATTCCTATCTAATATAGAGATCATATAGAAGATAAGACAAGAAGTTCAAAGCATAATACGACGCGTTTGTTGCGTTAGTCAGGCTGATGTGTCTCTATACATGTGAAATCTTCAGTGATCGCCGACTTCGGTTTTGATACTCCTGTTTGTGTGTTTATATATCGCACTCAGTCATGAGATGCCATAAGGATGTGTATATGGATATTTTTGTTGCACGATAATTTATTTATTCTACTATGGTGATATGTAGGAAGATTTCTATTCACATCGGCGATGTTTTGATTTCAATGTGTGATATAGTATACGTATGTATTATGTACCATGTTGAAGATATTTTGAATGAATTGAAGTATTATATTACTTTTTTGCATGTTACAACGTATTAAACACTGCATTAAATCTTCTAATAGAAAATTCAAAAAACATTCACACGAACACTCAAAAAAAAAATTCAATAATTTGAAATGATATGTTATATAGTACAATGAATTTCGAAAGAAAATATAATGTTTCATGACATATGTTGGAATAAAAGGCTAGTGCAAAATAGTTCTACAAGTTTAACTATCACTGTATAAAGTCATATTAAAATCAAATTTCTCGCATTTGACACTATTAAAATGTTTTCTACTATTCGTTTAGGTTCACATTAACATACCCATGCGATTCAAACTTGACAAAAATCATCGATAGACCAGTCGATATAATGTGCGCTATACCGGCAGTAGTTTGATGCTTAAATGACCCCTATCCGCCGATCGTTGTCGTAGGATGGTATACCGATAGCCATTCTCTAACCGGCAACCTACAGTCGGTATACTGTTAATAGTACAAACAAACATGTAGCATCGATGCATTTAATCACAAATTTAATAATCAGTGAAGGATAGTAATAATATATTTGTTAGTAAATTTTTGATATCAGCAAAATTTTAGAATTTTAATTGAGTTCAAAGATAGCATAACAACTAACGAAGACGTAATTACTAAAAGAATTCCTTATTTGACAGTTTACAGTTTCGTTTTTTGTTTTCCATTCCGGAAAATATTTTATACACTAAAATACAACGCAAACGTGATGTATTATTTCATAATTTATCAGTTCAAAATAAGCACTGAAAATAAGAGATTGTTCATATAGACTCATTATCTGATTTTCTATTCTATTCTATATATTAATAAGTAAACTAAATAGCCATATAAGCAACTCGAATTATGTCATCCTTATTTGGAATTCTTATTATATTCCATAGTTTTTAAAATTTATTGAAATGAGCAAAAAGACTTGATCATATCTTATTGAAACGCTCGGTTACAAAGGTTTATTGTGTATATTTAAACAATAAAAAGCAGTACAACGAAAAAAGTTCTCATTAAATAAAAGTTGGGAAAAACAAAAAACTTCTATGAATTTTTTTGTATGTTAAATTGATGTTTAATTTTTTCAAAATCAAAATATTCTTTCAAATTCTTATTGAATTTATTCATTGATTCTACAAGCGCAGCATAAGTTTCATCTAAGGTATCCATTCCATAAAATAATTCAAAAGAAAATGATGATATATCATTTTTAATATCTCTATATTCAAAACCATCATTAATTTGTTCCAAACCAACATGACTATTTTTATAATAAAGTAAAAAACGTTTAACAATACGTTCAATAACTATTTTATATGTTATATTTTCATTTGAAATATAACTACGTTTACGTTTAAAGATTTTTTCATTTTTAAAATCATTTAATTCTATATCATTATTCCTAATCCTACTGATATTAGGAAGACCAATATTACCATATGTTGTATGTTCATTTCTTTTTTTAATAGAATTATTATTATTATCATTTCTTGAAACATTCTTTGAAGTAATCATTTGTTTTATTCGCTTTAGAAGATTAATAATAGCTCTTGGCGATGGTAAAATATTCAATGGAATAGGTAAAATATCTTCTAAAAGTACAGTTACAAAAAAAAAAAACTTTTATTTTCGATTTTTATAAAGGGCAAAGTTTTGATTCACAAAAGAAACTCAAGTTAATTTTATTTTCATAAAATGAAATCTTAAATAGTTTGCATGAATATTATGACAAAAAGTTTGATGAAGACATAGAAATTATTAGTTTTATCATAATCGTCCTAAATAGCGGGTGATTGAAAAGTAACTTGACAAAATGTACATTTATTTTTCGAACTCTTAATCGAGACAGTAGAGCTTTAAAAATGTTGAGTTTGAATTAAAATTTTGGATTGTTTCTGAACAACAGACTCAAAATTTGTCTACGACTTCAGATTTTGAGATTTATAAATCGACTCTGTAGAAGTTCAGAAATAAAGTTTGAACGGAGAAAATTGACTTTTTTGTAGCAATAGTCTCTGTTACTCTATACATTATATCACTGATTTCTTTTGGATTGAATTAAAGACGAGATTGTTCTCTGCATTTGATATCAGAATCAAGAGTTTCAAAGCATTCATTCAGAAATGGCAGAACTTACTTTCCAAGTCTTTTTCCGTAGAAATCGAGAAAATTGTCCCAATGGATCCTGTGTATCTTACTAAAATATTTCGTGTTGATAAATGACTTAGACCAAACTAATCATTGGTATACCATTTTATAGCACAATGTTTGTTCTTTCATTTGCTCTATTTGAAATAATTATTCTTTGTACTCTTGGTTCATTTTTGACGAGTTGAAGCTTGCTCAAATTTAATTTACAGGACTTGAGAATGTCTCAATAATTTCAAATTTCTGTAGGTTCTGTTGATAGGCTGGAAAATGAGCGAATATTTTATGAAATTACTTTTCAATCACTCGTGATATCTATATGGTATCTTTTTTCTAACTCATTTCAACAACTGTGAACATACGGTTTTGAAAATGCAAGTCCCATTGTATTATAGGATGCAAAAAGAGATGTTTAGAATTTCGAGATAGTTGATCAAAAAGTAATTCGATTATTGAACACTTCTTTTCACTGGGTTTTCCTGATAAAGTGATCCTACGACGGAACTACCGGAACAGTAACTCATTGTTTGAGTTCATAATGAGGTTAGAAACAGCTTAAAACGATTTGCGCCTATGGACTTCTGAAGTCGAGTTATGACTGTCTTACTAATTTTTCGATCTGTCATTTTACTCATACGTAGGTCTAGTGACTTTTGAAATACTCTGAAAGTTTCAACCAAAAAGAATGCTCTTTTGTTGATATATTGAATGTCTAAGTAAGCACTCGGTTTTTTGTGGCGCATTTGTGACAAACGACTATTTATTGGAGATTCAGCATCTCAACAAATGAACATTCTTTTCAGCTGAAAATTTTAGGATAATGTAAGGGTCATAAGACTTATCTATGGGGTGGATTTCAAGTTGAAATTCCATTAGTTGATTTTTCAGTAAATGAATACCTAAAAATAGGTCGAAAATTCAGTAAACGATCTT